GCTCATTAGAGGTACAAAATGTTACTGAAAAATTCCAGGAAAGAGTCTTCGATTATAGCCATAAATAAAAGAAACATGTATTGTGGGATATCATGCATGAGAGAGCCATACAGGCTGCAGCACCTATTAATTATATTAATTAATATATATCGTGTCTTCGGAGAACAGGTCTTTCACTATCGCCAGTGAAGGCTCACTTCTCCGCCATATCAAAATACCACGGACCTGTGGAGAATCAACCAGTTTTTACTTATGATGTGGTTCAAAGGTTCCTAAGAGGCCTTAATAACCCTAACCCTACAATAAGCCACCCTGTACTAGCTTGGAATTTGAAAACAGCTTTACTACTGACGAAACCTCCCTTTGAACCTTTGGAAAAGTCGACATTGTCCAATCTGTCTGTGTGGGTAGTGGGGTTTTATAGCTGTCACACATTAACAGGTGTGTTGTGAGCAAGACACGAGGAGTCATTCTTCCGCTCTGCTCTGCACTGGTTAGGCCTCAGGTGGAGTATTGTGTCCAGTTCTGGGCACCGCATTTCAGGAAAGATGTGGAGAGATTGCAGAGGGCCCAGAGAAGAGCAACAAGAATGGTTAAAGGTCAAGAGAACACGACCTATGAGGGAAGGCTGAAAGAATTGGGTTTGTTTAGTTTAGAAAAGAGAAGATTGAGGGGGGACATGTGTGAAGGCCACTTATTGCTCACCCTTGGGCTTACGTGATCACCTGAACGAGCAATGCTTTCCTAACTCAGGCCTCTACACAATAGTTTGGTGGGAAAACCCTTGCTGAATCCAAGGGTTTTCCCCGTCTGCCTAGCCATTCTGTGAGTGCACAGCGATATTATCAATGCCTTTCCCAGTGGGTAAACTGAGGCATGGAATGGTTTGCCCGTAGGCACACTGGAAACCCGTGGCAATGGTGGAAACAGAACACAAGACTCTTGGCTCCTATGGCCTATGCCTCAACCATGCGACTTTCCTCCTTTCCGAAGGCTGCACGGTAATAGCAGACTCCTGCTGGTTAGACCACGTGCTCAGTTTTAAAACCCGATCCTTCCTGCTCTGTGGCCCTAACCCTGAAACCCCCGTCCCTCTGACTGTGGGTCCTGTGCGCAAACACATCTCTGCAGAAGCGGTCGCGGCGGGCACATGGGCAGGGCGCTTTGCCTGGGAGCTGTTCAGTGAGAGCAGAGCGGGTTGGTGACCCTTTCTATAAAGCTGGTTACTCTGTCCCTTGGGCGAGATGTTGGCTCGGGAAGTTCTCTGACCAGTGGCCTCCATGAGCATTGCCGGCAGCGCAGACGTGTGTCGGAGCACGTTGATTTCGAGCTGTGGGGGGCTAGTGAGCTTTTCACACTGCTGCAGAGTGCGTCTCAGATGCCATGTAAAGACCAGTGGTCTGTTCACTTCTGGTTATTGAAGCTCCACAGCCATTTTCATTGGCCAGGAACGGCGATCTGCAGTCGATGGGAGCTGCAAGTGGCCGTACCTGCCGATGCTCAGGTAAATAAAGTGTCAGCCCCAGCTTCTTGGTCAACTTCGGTCTCCCTTCCATTTCTAGTGACGACAGGACGCTTTCTTCACTTCTTGGCAACGTTCTCTCAAATTTTTTCCACCCATGTGCAGAATACATTTTGTTCTGTGCACTGAGACACATGTGGATGTGCACCACCAATAGAAACACATGCTGCCGGCTGTGGGCACTCCGCTAATCAGCTGGGCACCATTTGACTCTCTCTTGGGTCAGCTTGCAGGGAGCACTGCTTCCCCGTCTACCCTATGGGGTAACAATGACGTACTTAAACAGCAAGTCATTTCCCCCGGAGCCGGCTGCATTTCATTGCGGGGGGAAGCATCGCAGGCAACTAATAGTAAAGCCCTTTGCCAGGAAAAGTGCCCTGGGCCAGCACACGCTGGAACGGTTAGCGGTGTGGATCGAGATCACTGACTGGAGACTGACGTTCGTAGCGGCCTTCGCGCTTGTGTCTTGTGCTGTATCCTGTGCCGCTCGGGGCCCGAGCCGTCTCTGCGGCGTGTGTTCTCCAGTCTCTCTGTTCTCACCCTGTCGTGGTTGGTGGGGTTAGACAGCCTCCTCTAACGCAGCGTCAGCACACTTTGCCCCTGAGGGCTTACGTCCAGGGAGGCGATGGGGACAGAAGGTAAGGGGGGGCGTTTAAACCATGCGCTTGTACCAGTGTACACCCCTGTACAGGAAACCTTGCTGGGATAGAAACGTGCTGCCTTTTGGTCTGGTGTAGCTTGCATGAGTAGAGGTGCAGGCTAAAGCAAAAGAACGCGCTGAGAGTGTCTACGGTGGGGGTCACGTTGGGGCACCCGTGCCAGGCAGAGACAGACTGAGGCAGTGGCTTGCGTGGCTGAGCTGGGCGCTGCTGTACTGCACGCAGTGGGGGGGTCGGTATTGGGGGCGGGAGAATGAACTCGTGGTAAAGGAACAGGTCTGCGTTTTGTCGTGACGATGGGCAAATTATTTTCCCTTCTCCCTGCCTCAGTTTCTCCAGCTGTGAAATGGGAATGACACTTCCTCACAGGGTGTCACAGTGGTTAGTTAGTTAATGTTTGTCAAGTGCCAAGAGGACGAGGTGAAGAGCAGGACTTTAACAGGGTTCAAAAAAGAGCTGGATAGAGTCATGGAGATTAGGTCAGTCAATGGCTACGAGCAGGGCTCCACAAATCACTGACTCTCCTGGCCTGTGGCGAGTAGATTTCAACCGGTCGCCCCGTTCACCAGAGGCTGGGAATGAGCGACAGGGGAGGGATCACCGTGGTCTGTTCACTCCCTCTGGGGCCCCTGGCTTGGCCACTGTGGGCAGACAGGACCCTGGGCCAGATGGACCTTTGGTCTGACCTGGCCGTTGTGATGCTCTTAAGGGCTTTGAGGTCCTGAGACGGAAGGTGCCGCTGTGTAGTGCATGGCAGTACTGACTAGTAGGGTTTGCTAGGGAAGTTAGACGTCGTTTAACTGAATAATCGTGTAACCACACATCTTATTGGTTGCATGGTGCCCAGTGGGCCCCGGGGCAGGGTTGGCAGCCAGTGTTCTCCTGGCCCCACTCTTGGGGAGCCCCCTGCGATCCCGTGCTGCTGCACAGGGGGCCTGAGCTCTCCGTGGACAGAGGCTGCACAGGGATCCGGCCTGCCCCCCGCCCCGCGCAGCTGCCTTTGCAGAAGCAGCAGGGGAGGGGGAGGTGGCTCCGGGGAGCTGGCTCCCCGTGTGTACCAGCTCCCATCTGCCCCACTCACCCTTCATGCTGCTGCCTCTCTATCAGAGGCAGCAGCACCGAGGTGGTGGGGAGTTGGCTTCACGGGATCCACCAGCTCCCTCCTCCCCCCACTGTTGCTGCCTCTGATACAGAGGCAGCGGGGGTGCATGCAGCATGTGCATGTCATTGTTAGGGTTAACCTGTAAGCCCAGGCTTATGGGTTAATCATGTAAACAACCGTGCACTGACGTCCCCAGGGTGTGCCCAGAGGGCAGTTATTGTACGTGGGACGAAGCCTGGACATCAGCTCTTTGCACAAAAGCCTCGAGCTTCTAGGGAGGTAAAACCCCCGTTAACCAGTGAACTGGCTCGCCGTCGTATTTAACTGGCTAACCAGTAAAGGGTCCCAGGCAGGGCGGCAGGGACCAGCTTTTAAACCTGCTCCCCATGAGCACCGGCTCCCTCGGCTGCCTTGGATCCAGAAGCAGCGGCGCGGGGCAGGAGGCTTCGCGGGCGCCCGTACCCGCAGGGAGCCACTGGAAAGGCGGCTCTCCCCGGGGCAGTGCTGGTGGGGAGCTGGCTTTAAGCCCATGGCTGAGGCTGCTCCCTGTGGCAGCTGTAGCAGTGCAGTGTGCCCAGGTCCCAAGCCCGTGGCCCTCTTCCTACCACCGAGCCACGTCTGCCAACTGGCCCAGGGCCAGCCAGTGCCCTGTCCCCACATGGGCGGGGCTGAGCTGCTGCTGTCATTTGCTTCCTCTCCCGTGGGGTTTCCTCCCAGCCCTTTAACCAACGGGGTCTGGAGTGCAGGGGCCAGCTCCCCTCTGGGGCCTAGCCAGAGAAAAGCCACACAGCGGCATCCAGGCACCTGGCGCTCTCGGTCCTGTGGGGAGTCAGTCGCAGGGCAGGACGGGACCAGATCCTGTGCCGAGGGGTGTCCAAAACCGGCCTGCCCGTCTGCATGGAGGCTGTAAAGAGCTAAATCTTCCCAGGCCACCGCCTGCTGGCGAGGACCCGCCTGCCTGTGCGCCGTAGCCCTCCGCAATGGGACGCACATCTGCCCAGGGCACAGCCTGCCCAATAGTCAGCCCCCAGCTCCCACGGGGGGAATCTCATTCACCCCTGTGTGTGTTCAGTGTGGATGCAAAGCCCAGGTTCAGAGCTGGGCGGCCCCTCCCACTCCTCACAGGGCGCATGGAGATTCGAAAGCTCCAGCCTCCGGCTTTTGGTGCGTACTGCGCTCAGCCCGCCCTGGTTCCAGGTGAGTGTCGTCCCTTTCCAGCTGGGCGCTGAGATGCCAGCTGCGGAGAGCCTCCCCGTGGGGCGCAATGGGCCCGCGTGTATTTCCCGGTTACGTGGGGAGCCCCAGGGCAGGCTGCTTTCCACACGGCAGAGCTCTCCTGGGGTGTTCCAGCCTGGACCGTCCCCCCCGCCACAGGCTCTGGCCTTCCTCCGGCGGAGCTGGGAGCAGGAGCGAGCACAAACGGCCGGCGACAGGGGGGATGTACGGAGTCGTGTGACATCGGCTGATGAGAGGCATCCGATACAGCCTCTCCCAGCCGTAACCGACGTTCCCTGGAGACGTGACTGACGAGGTGCTGTGTGCCCTGTACAGGACTCTGTTCGCTTCCTGACTTTGCAGGCTTGGGAGCCCCCCCAGGAGAGTCCATGTCTGGGTGGGTGCCCTGTGGATTCTGCGAGGCGGGAGGGTCTCGGGGGGGGGGGTGCCTCGGGGGCTGGTGCCAGTAGTAACCATACCTTGTCTCCCTGTTGTTTCTCAGTCGGAGGATCTCGGGGCCTGTGCCCAGTTTGAGAGCAGCAGACAGAACAGAAACATGCTGCCTAGCGCCAGCTGCGTCTTCCCTACCTTCACCCTGCGGAAGCCCTCCTCGGAGACGGACATTGAGAACTGGGCCTCCAAGCACTTCAACAAGCACACCCAAGGGCTCTTCCGGAGGAAGGTCTCCATCGCCAACATGCTGGCCTGGAGCAGCGAGTCCATCAAGAAGCCCATGATCATGACCAGCGACCGCAACGTCAAGAAGGAGGCCTGCGAAATATTTAAACTCATTCAGATGTACATGGGGGACCGGCGGGCCAAGGCGGATCAGCTCAACGTGGCTCTGGAGATCGCCACCAAAGGCTGGAGCATGCAGGGCCTGCGGGACGAGCTGTACATCCAGCTGTGCCGGCAGACCACCGAGAACTTCCGCTACGAGAGCCTGGCCCGGGGCTGGGAGCTCATGGCCATTTGCCTGGCCTTCTTCCCGCCCACGCCCAAGTTCCATTCCTACCTGGAAGGGTATATTTACAGGCACATGGACCCGGTGAATGACACCAAAGGTAAGAGCTCGGCGTTGTCCCGGAAGGACGCGCCACGCTTTTCCCGTTTGTACTGTGCGTCGTGTCCTCCCTGGGAGCCGAGCGCCGCGCTAGGAGAGCACCTGCCGCCCGAGAGCTCAGGGAAAGCGCCCGTAGGCTCCACCCTGGCCTTTCGTCCCTGGGACACTGAAATCCAGCATGAAATGAGCTTCATTCACGTTAGGCCTCAGTGGCCGCTAGCGCGCTCGCCAGGCCTCAGCTGGGCTCCTTCACACATGGCCACGTGCCACACGCCCACACGTGTCCCATGCAGCTCTTGGGTCCTTGCGCTGGGCCCACGCAGCCCCGGGCGCGTTTGTTCGAAGGAGAAATGGAAGTAGCCAGCCCCCAGGGGGACATTTCGGAGCCTCAGAGGGGGAGCCGAGTTAGCCTGTAACAGGAGAAACTTAAAAAACGATCAGTTGTCTGGGAGCACCTGAGAGACGAACACACCATGGAGATGGGATCGTGCGCGTCCGTGGGCACGGCCCGCTCCTCGGGCAGGGCTGCCCCCGCTGGCTCAGCACTGTCAGTGCAGAGCCGGGTCTCGGGCCGCGCCAGGGGAGTGTGGGTGGGAAAAGGCCCCCGGGCACGTTCAGAGACCTCCCTAGCTTCAGGGCTGAGCTTGCTAAGGCTCCGTGGGGGATGGTGCGACAGGGCTGCCTACAACGGCACAGGGCCCATTGGCGTCTACCAGTAGCAGAAATTGCCCCCGGCTGGCGACGGGACACTGGCTGGGAGGGCTCTGGGTTGCTACCGAGGATTCGTTCCCAGCTGGCTGCCTGGGGGTCTGGCCCACGTGCGCAGGCTCTGCCTGACCACTGGATTTGGGGCGGGGGAGGGATTTCCTCTGGATCAGGTTAGCCCAGACCCTGGGGATTCTTCCCCTCTCTCTGCAGCCCAGGGCTGGCTCACTTGCCGCTTTAATCTCATGCAGACGGAGGCTCCTCTGTGACCTGGCACGTCAGACGGTCATTTGAGGGCCTCAGCCGGGGGCGAGGGCTCGGCCTCTGCCTGACCACTGGATTTGGGGCGGGGGAGGGATTTCCTCTGGATCAGGTTAGCCCAGACCCTGGGGATTCTTCCCCTCTCTCTGCAGCCCAGGGCTGGCTCACTTGCCGCTTTAATCTCATGCAGACGGAGGCTCCTCTGTGACCTGGCACGTCAGACGGTCATTTGAGGGCCTCAGCCGGGGGCGAGGGCTCGGCGACGGCGCCCCGCAGCCTGGGGCCAGCCCTGGGTTTGTGCCCTCTGGGCCTGTGCAAAACCTGGGAGTGGCACCCGGCACGTGCCGCACTCCGGCCACGGGGCGGGCGAGAGGTTAGCTCCCGGCACGGCCCATCCGGCTCTGCTGCCCCGGCCAGTTCGCTGCCACCCTGGCCCACGCAGTCATTGCCCAAGACTGTTTCATGGGTTTAGGTGCTGCCGGGGGAGACAGCTGTGGAGCAGGAGGAGACGGGTGGCAGAGGCAGGCTCTGGCCAGGAGACTTATCTGGGTGACTCCCAGCCAGCAGCCCAGCACGGTTCTCAGCCAGCCTGCCTACCTGCCCCTCCCCCCCACAGGCTGCAGGGCCATGTGCATGTGTGAATAACTACAAATCAGAGGGGAGGGGGCGTGGTGCTTTCCAGTCGTCCCGGCTCCCTCTCCCCAGTGCACCTGACGCAAGCTCCCGCCCTCCGAAATCTGTTTGTCTCTGGGGCCCGGGGACCGGATCGGCCCATTGCAGCACCCTGCCGAGGGCAGTGACCGGCTCCGTTGCTTGGAGTCTCTCAGCCGCCCCTGGGTGTCTCTGGCTCAGGCCTAAGACCTGGGGCTGGCGCTGGACCAGTCGTCCCGGCTCCCTCTCCCCAGTGCACCTGACGCAAGCTCCCGCCCTCCGAAATCTGTTTGTCTCTGGGGCCCGGGGACCGGATCGGCCCATTGCAGCACCCTGCCGAGGGCAGTGACCGGCTCCGTTGCTTGGAGTCTCTCAGCCGCCCCTGGGTGTCTCTGGCTCAGGCCTAAGACCTGGGGCTGGCGCTGGACTCCCTGGGAGAGGCTCAGTGGCCCGTGCTCCGCAGGAGGCCGGACCCACAGACCCGAGTGGCTCCTGGCCTGACTCCCTGAGCCCGCCCCCCGCTTGGCCCTTATGGCTGCGGAGGGGACATGGTCTCCCAAGTCGTGGGGCGTTTCCATGGAGACATCCGGATCCGCCGGGAGCCGGTGCAGGGAGCAGAGCCACGAGGCCCTCAGGGCCGCTCCCCGACAGGCCGGCGCGTTTTGGAGCTTCGCCGGGACTCAGGGCTTCGCTCCTTGGCCGGGCGCTGGCTCAGCTGAGGCAGGTGCCGGGGGCACCCCCTCCTGGCAAGTGGCAGATGGGAGCCAGGAGCACTTTGCTCCAGGGCCCTTGGGGCCGGGAGCCGGTGCAGGGAGCAGAGCCACGAGGCCCTCAGGGCCGCTCCCCGACAGGCCGGCGCGTTTTGGAGCTTCGCCGGGACTCAGGGCTTCGCTCCTTGGCCGGGCGCTGGCTCAGCTGAGGCAGGTGCCGGGGGCACCCCCTCCTGGCAAGTGGCAGATGGGAGCCAGGAGCACTTTGCTCCAGGGCCCTTGGGGCGCCCAGGGAAGATGCCCAAAGACCGGGAGCCCCCAGGCTCCAGTGACCGGCCGTGCAGGAAGAGGCCCTGCTTAGAGGAGGCAAGTTCTGGAACGTGCTGCCTCTTCCTACCAGCATGTCCTGGGCCTTGCCTGGCCTCAATGGCTCTGCCCCCGCTGGGATGCTCCCGGCCGGGCACAGCGCCAGAGCCGGGGCTGGCTCTGCTTTGTGATGGGGAGCAGCAGTGCTGGGTGGGGCCTGTGTCCTGAGGCTTTGTCAGCTCCCCGGGGTGCTGAGTAACGGCTGGGGGGGCGGGGGGACGACGCTTTGCGCTCCCAGGGCCAGGCAGGAGCCCTAGATCAGGGGTCCAGCCAGGCGAGTGCGGCTGGACTTGGCCTTTCTTTGGGCCCGAGGAGGCCAGCCCCCAAGTGCTGCCTGCCCCTGCGGTGGGCCGAGGGGGACCCAGGATCCCCACAGCTGCCAGGGCAGGCACTGGGTTGCAAGGCCTGGGGGGGCTGCCACCTGCTCCAGTGATGCCCAGCAGCCCTGCGGCAGAGCTAGAGACGTACCCAGGCCCTTGGACCCCAGTAAAGGCTTCAAGTGGCGGCAGCGCTAACCTGGCCCCCACCGCTATCTCCCTCCAAGCCTTTGCCTGGGAGCGGCCCGTCTGCAAAGATCTCCAGTCCCGGAGCAGGGAGCTGGCCCCGCTGACGCTGGCGGCAGGGCCTGGCCAGAGGCTGGTGTCCGCTGGGCACGGCGCGGGTGGGAAGATGCTGCGAAAGTCCAGAGAAGAGCGACAGAACCGCCGGGTGGGAGGGCAGGAGCTGCCGGTGTGGGGCAGGAGGGCCCAGAATGGGCCAAGTACCAGCGAGGCACGAGCATCGGGGTGGTGCTTGTCGTGGGGGTCAGGCATGGGAGGAGCCATGAGTGAGCCAGGGAGGCTGCAAAGGGAAAAGGGGGGAAGTTTTGGGGGAACTTCCTGCCAATGAGCTCAGTGGTTCTGGGCTCCTGGCCCCCCCGGAAGCGCGGGGGGTGCCCCACCTGTCGCCTGGGACAGGTAAACCTGGGCGCTCAAGGCCGTGGAAGGAGCAGCCCTGCCCTGCTTTCCAGGGCTGGACTGGGTGGCACCTGAGCGTGGGAGAGGGCGGGCGCTCCGGTGCCGCCGTGAGGAGGGCAGGAGCGGAGCGGGGGGGTCTCAGAGGGGAGCCGGCCGGGGTGATGGGGAACCGGTAGCGGGGAACAGTCCCCACCTGCGGCCCCTGCTCCAGCGCTGCCGGGCCCCCGTGGGAGATGGGAGCTGGCAGCCCCAGTGGAGCTGAAGCAGCCCCTGGGGGGAGGGCCACTCCCCCGTCCCATCGGTTGGCCAGGTTCATGTTTCGCCCGTTAACCAATTGACTGGGATTTGACATCCCTGGTAGGGACCTGCTTGGGCTGGGGAGATCCTGCCAGGGGGCCGGGCAAGGGGCTGTCCTGGCAGGAGGGGTAGCTGGCTCTCGGGCACCCAGAGGGGAAAAGCCCTGCCAGCCCCTGGGGGGAGGGCCACTCCCCCGTCCCATCGGTTGGCCAGGTTCATGTTTCGCCCGTTAACCAATTGACTGGGATTTGACATCCCTGGTAGGGACCTGCTTGGGCTGGGGAGATCCTGCCAGGGGGCCGGGCAAGGGGCTGTCCTGGCAGGAGGGGTAGCTGGCTCTCGGGCACCCAGAGGGGAAAAGCCCTGCCCGTTTCTTGTTCTCGGTGGAGTCTGTCCCTTCCCGGGGAGCCCCTGGCGAGTGGGCTGAGATCACGTTCTCTGGCCTTGTGGCCGCTGCTTGTGGCGGCGTTTCACAGCCTGGGCGTCTGCGCGGGTGACACGTGCCCTGGGCCTCCGAGCACGGGACGCCGATCAGCGCTGCGCCCATTGACCCTGCTGGCTTCCACTTGCTGAGTCACAGGGCATCTTCTCCCCAGGTCCTGCTGTGGGCCCCCTGGCGCCCCAGGACTATCGGTCCCAGTAGCCAGGGCTGCGTTCTGCTGGGACCTGCCGCTTCT